CCCCCTTATCCCGTGTGCTACTTCATCTCTCCTCCTGAATACAAAAAGCATCAAAAACACGATTCGTAATAAAGCATCTTTTTAAAACTATGATTAATTCATAACATTAAGGCGATAACTTGGACCAAAAGCAATTAAGCTTCAGGAAGGCAATCTTGCCATCATCACATAACAATGAGCTTCAAACAAAAGGCTTTTCTTATCGAAACTTATTTGCGCAAAACATTTTAACACGCTACTATTTTGGTCTCAAGGGAAGCGCATTAAGCTCGAACGAAGGCGTCATTTGTCTGATATGCTGGAGAATGGAGTATAAACAACTTCAACGCGCAGAGGAAACCAAGTGAATACATGTTTTCTAGTTCGTACAAGACAAGAACCAAGGTAATGTGGATTCTAAACTACACGTGTAGATCAATAACCTAGTGTTGTAGCTTCTTGAGCTAAGGTATACTAATAAGTTGTATCGAATTAGTGGTTTTACGGCTTTGCATTTGATGTCGATTGCAAGAAAAAAATTTGATCAAAATGTAATAATTTTAATGGTGGTGGGCTTCCTGTGTTATTTAGTCTCGAAATCGTACGCCACAGGAATCCCAAACATGGTACAAATTATACGCAGGTTTTTTGTCAATTTCATCAGTTTTCAAAACCTTCTTTGGGCTTTTATATCAGGTTGACAAAGATCTATCATGTAAGTTAGCTTAATTTTTTAGAAAAGGTAAAAAGGTGCCTGAAATCAGGAAAATGCTAGAAACGCTATACCGCTGACCAAGAGCTATTTTTCGCCAAAATTTAGTTCCTCATAAGATTTTTAAGTTTAGATGAATATTGAAAATAACTTCAGAAACATGCCGAAGAGATCCTTAGCCTTTTAAAGAGGTGTATTTTGTTTGAAAAAGCTCTGTATTTCGATTTACGAAAATTTGGACCAACCGAAAAATCACATATTTTGGGGTTCAAAATTCAAGCGGGCTGTTTTTCATGAAATAAAGCAAAAAGTCAAACTTTTTTGACGCAAGGATTTAAAGCCCATTCTTTACTTTCATCGGATATAAAAAAAATTCGATCAAGGTTATCTTTTTATTTTTTGTTAATCGTTTTTGGACGGGTCAAGGCTTTTGGGCTACCTGTGGAGACGTTTTTTTAAGGCCACCAGATTAGTATCTCCGAATACTCGACCAAATTTCAGCAAAACTGCAAATTTTTTGGTTAGAAAAATAAGGAATCCTTCCAATACATCGCATCCCCTAAAAAATAAGCATCAATTAAATAAAAGATTGTTATATACCATCACAGGGATCCCAAGGCTATTATTTTTGTCAAAAACAAAAAAAATGAAACGACCTGTTTCATATAGTTTTTTGTTATCTATGACTATGTGTCTAATATCTTCTCATAAGGCTCGTTCTTTCTACCCCAATTCCAGCAATGACCTACGTTTGACCCCTAAAATCAAGGTCATTTTCATGTGGAAGTCGCCGAAATAATACATTCAAAATGTTATACGTTAACTGTATAAGCAATAGTTAACATAGATCATTCTACAAGGTTTTCTTTTTCCATTAAAAAGTGTTTACAATTTTTGGAATTTTTATTATGTTTACATATCGTTCCATGGGAACCCTGTGGAAAAACTCGTAAGAATTTAAGTCAATATTTTTATTAATAAATCACTTAATTGGGAAATATTTTGATCTTTTTCTCTATATTCGTCAATATATTTTCATATTTTAATAAATATGATCGTTAAAACTACGAGCGTAAACTGCAACCTTATAGAACATTTCACCACAGGGAGCCCAAACGCTTCCTCTCGTAATTAAAGGCCTTATTAAAATAGAAAAGAAACTTTTATTCAAAATATTCTACACTTCTTACAAAGTATCAAACTAGTTTTAAATCCTTGTTTTAAAATAATTTGACATTCTGCTTTGTTTCATAGAAAACAAGCCGCTTGAAGTTGGAACCCCAAAATAAGCGTTTTTTCGGTAGGTCAAAATTTTCGCAAATCGAAATATTTTGCCAATCCAAGCAAATTACACCTCTTCGAAAAGCTGATGATTGTGTCAACATGGTTCTGAAGTTATGTTTGTGATTAGACTCAGTTTTAAGATCTTATTGGGAAGAGAAATTTTGAGAAAAATAGCCTTTGGTCAGCGGTATAGCGTTTTTAGACTTTTCTTCATTTTATGTACTCTTGTGCTTCCATTTTCAATGAAACTGACATAAAGTGTAGCACATGAGGTGCTTTATATCCTGGCATGATAATATTCCATGTTGTATTCAAGATTCAAAAGAAAATAGAGAGTAAATATTCTCCTTTTTGGGATTCCTGTTCCTTGGTGACAAATGACACAGGTAGCCCAACACTTCGACAAAACGAATAGAATACAATAGATTTTTCTCATGTCGAAAAACAATGTGCGTATTACTTATTCATCTTGTTTCACGACTTTTTTGGGATCCCTAGGGATTTTATGACAAAAATGCTCTGCTTCCTTGGTCAGCCATGTTGAAGAGTAAAGAAGCACAAATGTGCCTAAAAACCGCCTAAAAACTCAAGAAACGCGATTATCATCGCTCCTACATATCTACAACAAAGGTATTGTACATTTTAATGATCGTCCTGTCCTTTAATTCATCAAAGAGCTTAAATATTATGCGAAATAAATTGTTGTACACTCAGTTGTTTAGTTGATCGAGTTAAACCATACTTTTAGAAACTGGTTAACGTTTACATTTAATGCTGCCTTTAGACCTACCGCTTGCCGCAATATTTGACATTAATTTTCGCATTCCTTCTATATTTTGAGGCTAAAAAAAGGCAGTAGTATAGCGGTTTTGCAAAGAGCAATGTAACATTTCTATAATAACAATATGCGCATAAGTTATCAGGGAGCGCGGCCGTAAAGATGCCTTTTTTTCAAGTGCACGCATCATGCATGACTCCAATTTCTTTTCTAAAATTGCTCTTGATATATGAAATATGAATTACAGAGCTATATCTAATCTTCCTCTACTATTTGTTTTCATTTAAACCTTAGTACTATGCAATAAGCTACCAATAAATAATGTTGAAGTGTAACGTCCGTTTTTGCGCAAAAGTGTTTTTAACGTGTCAATTCATTTTATATTTCACATCATTAAATAATGGCATTTTTTTCATTGCAGATCGAGACGTGGAAAACTACGAGGACAAAAACCAGAGGATAACCAATGATCTGAACTATTCTGGAAATTGTATTCCAGAATTTCAACATAACAGTTAAAACAGCTATAAATCATTGGTCATAGGAGAGTAATTCAGCAAATGTAAGACGTTTGATAAATTTTTAGTTATTTGCAGCGTATTTTCTATTTTAAAATAAATGATTTCATGATTTTTTTGTCTGATATTTTTTGATACTTAACCTCTTTTTAAATTCACGCATTTTTTCCCGCCAAAAAACTTAGAAATTTTTCAGACCATACTCCTTTTTAGGTTGCGGATTATCACATCAAAACAATTAGAATTTTTCACATCGCTCCCTTGGGAATTTACTCTTTTTTTTGAGTCTCAAATTTTCCCGCCAAAAAACTTAGAAATATTTGGTCGTTGGCCTTGGCACCCTTAGCCACAGATCTTGCACCTTATGCTCACTTTAGCATTTATCATTAATCAATAAACCTCACATGCCCCATGCCTTTCCTAGCACCTTTACCCATCACTTAATCCACTTCCTTTGTTCTCCTATTGTTTCACTCAAACAATAAGACAAGACATTAATTATTTATAAACATTTTTATTTGCTCATTAATACCACGCATTACAAGCAATATGTCTTAAGGATCTTTCAAACCTTTACCCTCAACAATCTCACTGACAGTCTACAGCACAGATTCACCGGATACATGGCAAGAGGTAAGTTGAAGGTACAGGTTCAAGCCCCAGGTAAGGTCTAGGTTCTCAGATGAAAAATTGGACAAACAAGAAAACAGTCACCCACAAGCCAGGATCAAGGTAAGTCAGATATCCACAAACAAGGTAAGGAGGATTGGCTCACAAATTGGCAAAGGAATTCAGAAATTGGCTTTAAAAGAAAAAAAATTCGAATTGGCAAAAAATAAAAATAAAAAAAATTCAAATTGGCTAAAAAAAAAAGTAAAAAAAGAAAAAAAATGTGAAAAAAAGCCATAAATTTTGAAAAAATATATACTAAGTCTTTTTGCAATTTTTTTTGCCCCTAGGGTAATTAGACGAAGGTCCCTGAGATCAAAAGTTCAAACCTACCCTCCCCTTAAGGAAAAGTGCCCCCCAACAAAGTGTTGAGGGTCACCCTTAAGGTTTTGGAATAGCAAGAACTAATGACCTCAGGGACAGACCATTTGTTTGGGATTCTAAAGACATAGGTGTTGCTTGAGTAAAAGACTAGTACAGGATACTAAAACAAGGCATAAAACTGGTGTTGTCTTTCAAAAAATAAGTGAAACCCTCTCCAAAGCTAGTGTGCTAAACATATAATGCTGTTTCTTATTTGGTAACTACTTTCAACACCACCCTTTTTAGCACTTCAATAACAAAATGTTTTAGGGATCTGATCCGTGAACGTTTTTATGATGGACAACACCAGTTTTATGCCTTGTATACAGAATCACTAAGGACTGGTCAACCCAGTGAACTTTTCATGTGGTGTCTACAATCTCGATTATAATTTGGAAATAAATTGGCCTCTCAATGATTTTGGATTTTAAGAAAATATTTCATTACATGAAAAGTTCAATGTCTTGACTCTATGATCCTTACTGGTACTAGCAGATTAAGATTGTAGAGCAGTTGATATAGGAGTATAATAAAGCATGGCACATGACAAGCCTGGTGTAGTCCAGGAATAGAGTAACAAAAGCAGATAAATAGGTTGTCTCAGCAAGGCATGTATGTACCATGTTTATTACAATCCTAAATGAACTGTTTTACATTACAACAAGAGTGACAAATGGTATTATAAAATCTTATCAAATTAATTCAATTGTGACGAGAACGATGTTGTATTTCATTTCTCTTGTATTGATCACGCAGGGAGCGATTGCTCAGTCTCCCGAGCCAAAGGCTCTTATTATGCTTCTGAGATATCAGACTGAACTGGTATTAATATCAATCCAGTGCATATTTCAATTTAATTTAAAGCCAAATTAGATGACTATAAAAATGTCAATCAAATATCTTATATTCATTTTTCCAAAGTATCCTATCAAATTTATTTAATTACGACGAGGATGTTGCATTTAATTTCTCTTGTGTTGATCACACAGGGAGCGATTGCTCAGTCTCCCGAGCCAAAGGCTCATAATTATGCATTCAAGATAGCAGACTGAACTGGTATTTAGATCAATCCAGTGAATATTTCAATTTAATTTAAAGCCAATTAGATGACTGTCATATGTCAATCAAATATTTTATATTCATTTTTCCAAACTATACAGTAGATGCCAAAAGATTCCAACACTTTTTGCTATGTTTAAGAATACCATTTATCACACTTGTGTACTTTTACTCAAGCAAGACCTATGTCAGACTATGATATGAACACACCAAGCCACATGGAGTAATATCRCCMAAATGAATTAAGRCCGAAATGATATTTYAATTTCTGCATATCAAATGATATCACAACCCAAGAAATACAATTTGGAAGGGTATGTCAGACAAATCRATAATTTGGACACAATTTTAGACAAATTTAAACAAAAGCCTGGAAAGTTGGCATAAATCAGTCTGATCAAAATAGGCACCACACAATACAGGATTGATGTGGCCAAGCCAAAATATACAAAATGTACATTCGTAAGATCTAAGCAGACTTATGTGCACAGAATCCATACTTGACCATTGGTGTGTTCAATCATAGTCAATAATGTTTAAATTTCACCACTTTAAGAGCACATGAAATAGTTTCTGGAGAAATATTTCATGTTGAACAATGCACAAACATGAGAAGCAATTGCAACATATAAACCAAATAGTTTGTTGTAACAATTCACACATCGTCCAAAGCAAATTTAATTTTTTCTCTGCTTCCAATAACTGTATTCTTTTCATTCACACCTAGATCTTGAGATTCAAGATTACAAAACCAGTTCTAAATAGCACAATATCAGAAAGATTTGTTATAGTTCTGGGTAGTTCTCTTTTATTATTGGCATTTCTTTCTGCCAATGTTTCAATAACCAAAAACAGTATGCAAAAAAATGGTAATAATCTTTAATAAATAATCTGTTGCAATGCTTCAATATACTTGTGCACATTAATTGATATCATTTTAACAAGACTGCAAAATTCAGAATCAAGAATTGAGACTTTTAATCTGAAATTTAGAACCAGCATCTTTCCACCAATATCCTCAATGATTATTTAATTAATAAAAAAAAACACTTCCATTAAAATTTAGTTGTAAGTAGAAATTTTTTATATTTGCAAGCTCTTTACCAAATTATACTGAAATATGAAATATACCAAATGGAAGAGGATGATTAGTGGAAAGAAAACCATCGAACTGAATTAGCTGACAAACCATGCACCTTGACTTACTGTGAAGTTGGGTGGAGACCAGGAAGCTGCCAGAAGATCATCATAGCAAAATAAATATATAYAGTAATCAAACAGCAATCAACAGCAGACTCTCACTAGATATGATTAGAAATTGAAAAATAGGAGATGAAAGATCAGACAAAACTTGGAAAATCAATGCCAAATGATCAAAACAATTTGATATCATTCCGCTGCCAGTTGAAAATTGTCAAACCATAAAAAGTGAAAGTTTACTGAAACAATTGTAAAATTAAATCAACAAACTTTGAAAAAGCTTTTTTCTGAACTTTGTATCATGACAAAAAGAAGAACATATTTTTGAGCTGAACTCTGAATTCTTGATTTGAGAATTTGAGAAAGAAGTAAATAAACTGTCTGGATTAATTTTGAAAATAACTTTTGCCAAATTTTAGAAAAAATGAAATTTTGAAACATTTTTGATAAAATTTAGAAAGAAACTTTTTCATATGCATGAATAATATCATTCAAACCAATGTCAATCAATAGAAAATCAGTGTCAATCAATCAATAGGAAAAAAGACAAGCAAATCAATGTTAATGAAATAAATAATAATGATAATGCTACGGAGCCATGTAGAGCCAAGCCAGCCAGATCTTGTGTCCAATGGATAGGTGCATAGTTTATCAACATACAGTAAATATATACCAAACAAGTTATTTGAGTAAAGGATGTGGTCACTTTTTACTTGTAATAAAAAGATTCAACAACCTTTACATTCTACTGCTTAAAGTGGTGAAATGATCTACATACAACAAGTCATTCTATGTAGATAATATTGCATAACTAACAATAATTCTCATAACAGGGAAAGTGAATATCAGTGAATATTTACCCAGATCAAGTCAGAGCAAGTATTAACTAATATTCAATTAGCTCAAGGAGAATTATTTGTTTAGTAGAATCACACAGGTGAAAAACAAAGAAACTAAAAACACAGTAACCTTGTCTTCACCTGGATGATTTTACTTACAATGAACTCTACCACATTATAATCATTATATCTAAGAGGTTCTTCTTMTGGTCTTCTCAGGAGTCTTGGTCGTCTTSAWGCTGATCTGAATAAGAAATAACAACACCACTATTAGTATAATGGTTTTAAAGATACACAAGAACATAAAGACCTAGGGGTACCCCCCAGAGGACACTTGTCAACCACACCCTAATTTGGCACAAAAATGTATACTATCTACATGTTATTCCAAGGAGTCAAAATTCTTCATTTTAAGTTAAAGAACATAATGATATTCTGTTGGAAACCAAATTTCATATCATTCAGAGTACTGAGGAGGAAGGGAAGGGTCAGCAAAACAAATTTTGTTAAACTGGAAAAAAAATTGGCTTCGTATCGGGTCAGTGAAAGCTTAAACTCCTAATGAAGAATTAAAAACATTTCTCCAGTTCTTTTCTCGTGTCTTGAGTGGTACAGGAGAGTCTGTGAAGCTTTTTCTCTATGCCAAGTTTCGAGCACGTGCAACATGAGACAAGCTAGGGTTCATAAATGCTATTCACTCGATAAAAATAATAAAGAAAATGCCGAATTTCTCTCTAAAGTTAAAGAAAAAGCTCTTATCATTATATTTTGACAGTTTAGCGTAGTTAATGAGCATTTCTTACCGTGTAAATGTTGATTTTTGAACACGGCTTCGACCTCCAACTTTTTAACGACTTCTTCTTCCAGTACAGTAATGACCGTGAAGCATGATGGGAGCACGTGACAATAGTACACAGGCTACCCAACAACTGAATTAAGGGATAGGAAATAAAATAAAGAAAAAAGGAAAAAAATTAGACATTTATAAATGACAAAAATAAAATTAAAAAGGTGATACGAAAGTCGCGAAATAGAGAGAAATAAAGAGAGTGTTCGTTTCTATTGATTATTTTTACTACTTTCATTTTTTCAAAGTTTTAACTCTTAATTATAATTATATTATGAAGTTTTTACTTCATGGAATTGTCTTCGCATTAGTTTCATAAGTTTTAAGAGTAGGGGTGCTGGAGTAAATGGATGAAACCCTAAAAATAGTAGCTAACTATATTTACGACCGTTTTAATAAAATAAATAAAGTTTAACCAAAATGATGTACGCAATGAAATACACGACAGCGATTTTTGACAATGGCACCCCTACAGAATGTCGACAACAGCACTACTGGTTTTCAGTTGGTGATGGTGAAGGTTGTCAATTGGTGATGGTGTAGGTTTTCAGTTGGTGATGGTGAATGTTGTCAGGTGGTGATGGTGAAGGTTGTCAGGTGATATTGGTGAAGGTTGTCAGTTGGTGATGGTGAAGGGTGTCAGGTGGTGATGGTGAAGGGTGTCAGGTGAT